AAGGGATGAGCTACAGTAGAGTGGCTCCGAGCCACTCTACTGTAGCTCATCCCTTATAGGAATGGAGAGATGGTGTGTGTAGAATTGGTTGCCATGGATAAGGATGGTGTTCTTCAAGGTGTCATATTTCTTGGATCAATTCAATATGAAGCCTTGAAAAGAGTTTATGATACAAGAGTAAGCAAATTTGTATTTTTTATTTTCATAAGAAAATTTTTTTATTATGCATATAAATGTTTACCTTATAGGTCTTTGCATACAGAAACTGGGAAATTGTGTAAGACTTGTCATTTTTTAAGTAAAGAGAAAATTATCTATTAACTCTTATGTGTGTGGGTGAGGGTCAAAATATGCAAATCACAATTGTCAGATGTTATGTTTCCCAATTGTCAATTAAAGGCATTTACTTATACTTCTTAATAGTATAAATATATACTGTGTTGTTGTTGTTTGGCTTAGGATTCTTCTACAGTGGGTGTTTGTGACTTGTTGGTGATAAATTAAAAAATAAACGAACAGCACTCACTCCACTTATTTTCAAAGTAATGCATATATATTCAAAACTAGTTAAATGTATGTACAACAAATTCTTTAAACTACAGAGATCATAGGCTTATCATAAACACAATATAATTCTCTAGTTTTTTGTCAAAAATCCTCTTAGGCCTATTCAATTGCTTTAGAATTTCAGTTGACAAGCCACACTAATTTTCTCTATTACTATCACTAAATTATCCGAGTATAGTTCATTTGCATTATCATCTGTTCTTTTCTGTCTCTGTATTTCTGAGAATCATCTGTCTCTTTGTCAAAGTTCACTGTGGCTAGTTCAATTACTATAGAATTCTCTTTGATGAAATAAACTATTTTTCTGATCTCTTTCAACACCTTTAGTCTCACTCTAACATATCATCCATTAGGCCTATATTAATTGTTAGGCCTTCCTATTCTACGACAATTGGTTTTGTACTTAACTTTTCTTTGGCCGAATTACTTCTCGTAACTTTACTTTTCATCTGCTCTGTCTGTCTAATTTTCCTGCTAATCTCATACTATTTACATGTTTATTACTTAATTGTTTGCTTGCTATATCCTCAACATCAGTAAATTTCATGCAACGTTTGATAATCTTGACATAAGTGAGTTACAAACACAACTCTTACCAATTTATGTAACTAAACTTGTCATAACATTTATTTCAAAATAAGATATAAAATGATAAGCTTCAGCTGGAAATTGTCATGGAGATTTGTTTGAGAATATAGTGAACATTTATAGTTTCTGTGTAACTAAATTCTCTATATGTAATGTGTTGCAATGGGAGAATATATGCATAGACTAAGACATAACCCCCACTAAGCACATATAAAATTGTACTAGTTGAAAAGTGGCCTTTTAAAATAAAACACAGACATCTGAAACATTGCTTTAAATAAACCTTTGTGTCTCTTATTATTTTGCTCCCAAGTAGCACAGTGGTATGTCTGTGGACTTACAATGCTAGGAATCGTGTTTTAATACCCGTGGTGGGCAGAGCACAGATAGCCCACTGTATAGCTTTGTGCTTAATTTCAAACAAATATTATTATCCTACAGATGTGTGTAATAAAATTTAATATTATGTGTAATGATTTTTTTTAACTCCTTTACTTCATACATAATAGAGATGTTGGCTCCCTAAAGACACCAATTGCATATTGTACAAAGTATTGAGTATCTACATGCTACAGACATCTAACGTTCATTGGCTAGTAATTTCTGTTTCACCCTGTTCTTAAGTTTTTAAAAAAATGCCACATATATATGTAAGAAAGCAAACTTCAAGGGATAATGATAACATCATTTACACTAGAATTATGATATTTTTAGCTTATGTAAAATATAGAAGCAAATTGTCTTTTCAATACCTCTATGAATGATCTTTGCAGTACCTTATTTAGTATTCTACAGAAATTTTGGGTACAATATACCAAGCAGTTTTTGTTGTAGATTGGTAAAAGAATAATAATAATAATAATTACAAATGGGTCATTTTAAGTGGATCTTTTTTTTTTCCTTGAAAATCTAACATGCATGCTTTTTTTTGCATTTTTATATATGTACAGCCTTATTAGTCAGTATTAAAGGTTTTAAAATGTTGTTTGAACTGAATTTTACTGTGTAAGGTGCTTTTGCCTGAGCATTCTATTACAGTTTTGTGATCCCTATTATCATGTTCATGATAAATTAACTAAAATGTAAAAATTAGAAACTTATTAAGTTAAATAAGGAACTTAAAAGGAAAATAATTAAATAATAAATTTATCCATGAGATATGTATGCAGGCTGCTCATTTGTTATGTATTTTGATGCCTGCTCTGTTTACCACAACTTGAACTGGTCCTTTCCAGTTATTTATTGCTTTGTTATGCTAGTTTAGTACTTAGGTATTGCTCAAAGAGCAATAAAACAATAAAATTAAATTATTGCATATGTGAACATGTTAGAGGCCTAAACCACATAATATAAATAATTGTAATTGTCTTTTAAAATCTGCAGTCATTCTAGAAAAAAAAATGTACTTTTGATTTTATTTTGTATTTTTCAACTTTTGGTACAGATGATTTTGCTACAGTTACTCTTAGGCTAGAGAAAATAAGAGATAAAGTGTAAAGTTCTACTGAAAAAACTTATATTCATAAAGAAGGTTCTGGAGGTTGTTATATAAAAATATGAAAACATTAAGATGAAAAAAGTGTTTATATTCATAAATGAAAATAACCTTGTACTCAGACTAGTCAAAGTTTGAGTCGGACTGACTTTGCAAATTAAGAGACAAATTTTTAGTAAAAACACTTCATTCAAAATTTGGTTTTCTGTGTACAACAGACTTTTCATCTTTATTAAAAACTTCCCAAATTTTGAAATTCTACATGTTGTAAATTCGAAATTACACTTAATATTAATTCTTCAATATTGGACCAACCTCATGCACATACAGTTAAGGCTAACTTAAAGTGTGCATAGTGAACTTGTGGTTTCAAACCAGTGTTTATTTCAATCACAAGGAAGTTAAAGACTGTTTATGTTGCATTTTATAAATTTTGAAGTAGGAGTTACAAAAAGAAATTATCATGTAATTTAATGAACAGACAACTAAGAATGAAATTGACCTTTGTTATTTTTGATTATCTTATATTTTGTCATAGCAAAATTCATATGCTATTAGATAAATTTTCAGTAGTTTAAGACTGACAGGTACCGTGGAGTATAATGTCATTATTTGTGTTATATTGCTTGTTTTGTTTTGTCCAGGCTAGCATAACAATGAGAATGGCTCAAAGAATGTTTACAGGTTGGTATCAAGGCCATCAGAGAATGGAATTTGTACGAATGAGAGGCCCACAAGGTAACGGTCATGCTGAAATGGCAGTTACAAGGGTGAAGGGAACAGGTGCTGATACACATACATCAGAACCAGGTTTTTCATTAACAGAAAACTATAACTACAATGATTTAGAGGTGAGTTGAAAGCATGTGAAATATTCAGTAATAGAAATGATTTTAGAAACACACTAGTGATATGCTTACAGAAGTCACAAAGAATGAGTAATGGTAACTAGATAATAATGGTACAAAACATAGAATACCCAAGTGAATAAGTAAAACAATGCACTAGTATTTTGTATGTGAACTTTTTGTTTTACACAGAACATTACACCTTGTTTTCATGCTGTCATACCATTTAGAAATGTACAATTGTTCCTGTATTATTCTTCACAATACAACCAAATTTCGGTCACCCTTAGATCATCTCTGTTTTTACATAAGCCCATGCAATTTCAAGAATGTTCATATTGAGATTTTGCGCAAGCCATACTCTGTTTGTGAGTGTCCTATTAGCCCTCTTGTGTAATAAAGATATTTCTCCATCACATTTACTACCTGCTTATGATCATTGTCTTGATGGAAGATGAATGCTTTGCAGAAGGAGTTAGGTTGATGTTCCAGAATTAGTGGCATGATGGATTAGAATTAGCTTTTACTTGTCAGCAGTCCTGATGTCATTGATTTTGTGTAGATCATTGACACAATTTGTTGATATACAGCCTTTAACTTGTACTGATCTCCCCCACCACCACCAAATTTCACCATAAATGTTGTGCATTGACTTTGATACCATTCTGTTCTCTGCTATCGAAGAAACTGTCTTTGACTGTTCCAAATAATTTGAACTTGGATTCATTTGGTTACCTCTTTCAAGCAATAGTTTTCAAACAGCTACACTTCCACTGAGATCATGTTAAACTGATGTTTATCTTACTGCTCTCAAGGTCACATTCACACCTGTACTTACAAGAACATTGGCAAGGTCTGTACTTGACCATCATCTATCTAACAGAGAACATACCTTGGTGAACTTAACATGATTTTTTTGAAGTTTCGAATTTCTGACCTGACCACTTCTATTATTATCAGTGCCAGTTTAACCCTTTCTGGACTGGTGAGCACCTTTCAAGTGCACACCTGTGAATTTCAGAATTAAATTAAAAATAATAATTCTTACTCTGTTTCAAAAACTTTTCTCAAAAACGTATTAAAATTGATATTTTTCATTTTCTAACATTTATTTTAGTGTAATTTGCAGAAGAAAAAAAAACGTTACCCATTCAAAATACAGTTAACGAAGTCCTGTCTCTCACATGATTTTGCTTTTTTTGCTGATGTTCTCTGTGTTTCACAAAATGTTTTTGTGTTAAATATGTAGTTGTTTGAATGTTATGTCAATTTCTGAATATGACAAGACATTGGGTAAATCTTAATAGGCTTTGAGAGTCTGGCAGTGACAGCAAGTTATTTCAGTGATTCAAGTCTTTATTTATTGAGTATTATTGTTAGGTTTATTGTATTCAAGCAACACATAACTAAAATAACTTATGATTTATTGAAAATGGTTTGTATTTATTAGATATAAATTTATTTTGACCAAGAATACTTTTAACAAAAATATTTTTACCTAAGCTTACATGATACCATTTTGAAAGGTATATCAATAGGTATTTGTCAGTTTATGGATGTATTTTATGATTTCCTAGAAGTGGTAACTACTTCAATCAGCAAAATATAGTATCAAAAGAAATATGTTAATGAATATCGGTCAAGTTGAAATTGACTTAATATATAAAATGGAACTTCCTAATCAACAATAACAAAAAAATGTGAATTAAAAGATGAAAGGACATATTTTTAATGTCTTCTTAAAACAGTGTCTCACAACAATTTATTTGAAATTTAATGAGATATAAGATGATGGAGAAACTGAATAAAATTATATTAATTTGAAAAGCCAAAACTAGATCCTATTCAGTAAATCTGTCTTTAGTTTCATGCAATATGTTTAACCCTGTCTGCACACGTCACGAGGTTTTAGTGACATACATTCAACATTTTATTAATCTACTTTTATGTTATTCCAAGTATTATACCATAAAATCTTAACTAATAATCCACATTTTAATAGTATGTAAGTTTTAAGTACTTAATTTTATACGGCAATATTTCTAAAAATCGTGAATTTCTCCTCGTATGATAAATTTTCTCTATTTTATCCACCACCCCTCCAAAAAGTATGAAATTACACATATATGACTCACTGTAAAATCGTCATTGCTCAGACAAACCATAACTTTTATAGCCTTCAATTTTGTTTGGTTACAGAGCTATCAAATCCTTCTTACCACACCCAACTGTCATATCCTCTCTTTGTTAATAGTTTTCTCATATATTTAATACTATATTATCTATAACCAATAGAAAACAAGGGTTTACATTTGTCAAATGACATACTGTATAACGTTATTTTCTGAAGAGAGAATTGTCGATTTCACCATTAGTACAAGTTTTGTACCCATGAAAAAGATAACGACTAGCTTGTAACTTGTAACAGCTCTTGTCACATAGTTAGAAAGCTAGAAAAATTGTGATAGTTAAGGAAAATTGTCTATTCATTGCATGTTATTATTCTTTGTTCTTTGATGCATTATTTAATTAAATAAAGATTACTTAGTGCATTTCTACCATTAGTATGAAAAAAAGTAGGCTTAAGTGTTATAGACAATTAACGGCAAGAAACAAGAAGATTCAGGTAAATACTTTATTTCATCTTTTTCATGTTTATTCTCTCTTTATTATTATAAAAGTAAATAAAATGTAAAAATAGGGAACTCTTTAGGTTAGTTAAGGTTATATTAGGTAAAATAAATAATAATAATATAATAAAAATCTTTCATGAGGCACACATGCAAGCAGCTCATGGGTAATGTAATTTGATAGCATAACGTGAGCTGCACATTCCCCAAGTGATTTACAACTTGAATAGTAGTTAGACATGGTTCAAAAGGCAATAAAACAATAAAATTTAATTATAGATAGATGTATACTGTTACAAGTTTAAACCTACTTTGGATAAACGAAGGTAGTTTCATGTTACACTTTGAAGTCATTCTAGAAAGAAAAAAAGGGTAATTTAGATTTTTGTGATGGTTATGAGGTTGGTCAAATTGATTAACATTGTATAGAGTTATGGTAGAGAAAATAACAGATAAAGAATAAAGTTTTAGGGAAAACAAATATTTGAACTGTATTTAGCAGGTTTGAGAGAATACACAAATCAAATCTGAGATTTTTGAGATGAAGAAAAGTATTTTAATCTTAACATGAAAATAACTTTACATATGGACTATTCAAAACATATACTCAATATATTCATGGATATACCTTTAGTAAAAATATTTCATTAAAAAAAAGATTTTTTGTGCACAAAATACTAATAATGTATACTAAAAGTCTGCCAAATTTTGTGAAAATACACACAATGTATTAAAAGCTATAGTATTGAAACTATATACAACTAAAAATGGTCCCATGGTCAGTTCCTGAGACCGATCCTGTATTGAGAGAGTTAATTATATGTACCTGCAGGAGAATCCATATCTTCAAAGAAGGATGTCTGATCCCAGTTCAAATCTGAACACTTTTGTTCGTGGTTGGAGAACCAAAGAAATCAAAAGGTCCCTGTCAGAGAGAGAAGGAGTTGGTTCTTTTGATAATGGAGGCAATGAGATTGAAGCAGGGGATCTGCGAGATGGTAGGATATTAAAATAAATTATTGTATGAGTCACAGAAACATAACTGTTTTTTATTTGAAGCACAAAATCTACAAAATGGTACCGAACTAAAAACCGTTTATCATTCTTCCAAATTTAACTTTTATTTGTCATTTTAAACTTCTTAAACTTATTTATTTCTGATATTCTCCTTTATGATACCATCTTGAACAAAGAAATTTATTTTAAAAATTTCCTTATCTCAATATTATCTCAATAATTTCCCTACATTTATAAGCACACTCAGCTGAAGCATAGAGAGGGTTGACCAGTGATAAGAGAAACTGTATTTTTATCTAAATACATTTTGTTTCAGGCTATGAACTCCTTTGTTTTTGTATCAAACCCATCACTTAAACATGGCTTCATTCCCTGACATTATGCCTTTATGTATGTGTCCAGTTAGAGAAAGTATTTCTTCCTTGATGTTATTTATTTTTTAATCTTAAAATTGTGAGTTGGTTATGAGGAAATTGCTATATTGGCAGCTTCAAACAACAGATAATCCACTAGTTCAAGTGATGATATAGAACTTTTGTATTAGCTTGGGGTTCAGTATATATATGTGTGTGTGTGACGTGCATAAAAGTTACTGTGAGGAAAATGGTTACATTTTTTTGTATGCATGAGAGGTATTTGTATATATTATCTGTTGAAGCAGGGGATCTAAAGATATTATGTAACTTATACATTATAACTTGCAAAATCATTATTACCTAGAACTTTTTTTGTACAAAACGAAGAACAGTTTGATCCTTCAAGGTTATTTGTGCACACCTACTTCCAAGACAAAGGAAAGTAAAAATTAAACCCAACCTTTATTTTCCATAAAATTATTAACTCCTTTAAAAGGTGCCAGCTTCCAGTACTGTCAGTAAAAACTCATTCCATAAGTCAATCACCCTGTTAGAAAATTAAAACTGTCTTAATAATATTTCTCCAAATCTTAAACTTGTATCTTATTCTTTTATCTTCAAAGTTCAGCAGGAAGAAATCAAATCCTATATCCTATCAATTCTCTGGATAATATTGTAACATTCAGCAAGATCAGATCTTACCCTTCTATTTTCAAAAGAAAAAATAGATCTTACCCTATCCAAAAAGATAGCCCTTCCATTTTCAAACCATTCCAATAACTTTCTTCAAAACTTTTCCCAATAAATTATTATTCTTTCTTAGATTAGGTGACAAATATTGTGATATGTGTTGAGTGATAATTACCTCTTTTTGACTTGTAATAAATACGTATTTAATCACATCCTACAAAGCATAGCCTTGATGGTTTGAATGACTTATCTACTATGCCAATATCTTTTTATTTAGCCATACTATTGAGAGGTTTCTAATCTGTGTTAAATAGTTCATCCAAATTTTGATAACCTTGATGCATTACTTAACATTATTAAAGGTCATATACCAACTATTCTTCCAATTTATTTTAATAATTTTGAACATAGGACATTAGCATCCTCAATATAGCTAGAAATACCTAAGAGATTATCATCACCAAATTTGAATAACTTACAAATTATTCCCCTATCATTATAATTAATTTAAAAATAAAAGCCCGAGCACCGACATCTGAGGAACACAACTAGTAACAAAAGTTCAATTTGACCTGTAACAATTCAGGTAACAAGTAAAATCCTCAAAAATAATAATAAGGAAAATGTTCCCTTTAGTTAATCCATATTGTCTCTTGTATATCATATTTCACTAAGTGATTTTGCAAAGCTTTTTTTATGAGACTATAGAATCTTCCCATTACAGAAGTAAGAATAACTGGCCTATAGTTTCCTGGCTAACTCTTACCACTCCCTTTAAAGATAGGAGAAACATTAGCAATTTCCTAATTTCAAGCATATTGTATCAAAAATGAGAGATAGGCTCACATATCTGATATTTGACTTACTCTAAAACTCTGAGTAAAACTTTATTTGGTCCTGATTTCTTCCTGTTTTTTTAAATCTCTAAATCATTTTACTTGCTATCAAAAAATTAATACTTATGTTTCAGGTTAATTCCAGTATTTCCAAACGAATGTTTAAAATTAAGAATATTGCTATTATATTGTGTTATAAAACAGAATAAAATAAAACACTTGAAAGCTTGATCATCCCATAATCTTGAGTTAGTTGGTTCTTCTAAACTCATTTTTGATTTCCCAATTTCTCTTCCAACCATATTCCTATCTTTCCTATTGTTTTATAAGTTTTGCATCCTGTGTGTCATTTAAACTTCTTAAACTAATTTATTTCTGATATTCATCTTTATGTTCTTATTAAGCTAATTGGATTTAATCTTATCTGCCTATCCTTTCTTCTTTTGAGAAATATACCAATAAAAGAAATATATTCTTAAAAATTTTCTAATCATTTTCACATTACATTTTTAACTCATTAACCCAATTCACTAATGGTAGATCTTATTTCATGAGCTCAAAATTGACTTTCCGAAAATTAGGAACTAAAATTTAAGTTTTCTTGATCTCAAATGTAGCAAAACATCAAACCTAAGTATATAGTGATCACTCTTCCATAAGTTAACTCTTCATTTGATGGTTGACCCCCTGACCGTTTCATGTAGAAAACTATTACAAATAATTTCAAATAGCTTTTCTCTCTCGCTACTATTATCTTTTATCCTAATCAATGTGTGTCAAATTACATTATTTCATTATTACATGAGTGTGTGTATTAATAACAGCTCTGATCTCATTATACAATTTCTCATGAACATCATCTGTTTGATCAGTTGGCTTTTAACAGTTGGAAATTAGAAGCTTTCTAACTTTGAAACCTCTGAATGTAACACATATAAATTAACCCTCTTGAATATACTTTTGATGTAGCTGTAGCTCATCTCTTATATGACAATAATATCTTGAAACACCTAAAATAATGTTTAAAAAAAGATATATGTATATATATAAGAAAACATTCATGAAGTTTGAAGTATGAAAGTAACAGGTGCACAACATACAGTTTCCCCATCCCTGACAATAATATCTCAGCTCTTTCAGCATGGGCTCAGTCCTGGGACTGACCTCGTAACAATTTTGTGCTTGTTATAGTTTTCATGCTATAACTTTTAAATTAGTAAACATATATTAACAAAATTTGGCAGATTATCAGTAAACATTACAATGCTTTCCTACATAAAATATCAAATCTCTTTCTTAAATCTTAAGGTTTGTTAAGCAATGTTTTTCTCATGCCTTTTTTTTTTTTTTCTTTTTACATGTTGCCTATTTTAAGATTAAAAATACTTTTATGTATCAGAAAATTTTGAAATTTCACATGCGAAATCTTTATAATGACTTTTAGTCTTTACAAAGTGACCTGTCATGGCTATGTTTTAATCGACTAGTATTTTGTAAAATACAGTCACATTTCCATTATCATACA